TATGTATTTTATTATCATTAAAGTTATTATTTAAGCAAATATATTTGTGCTTGAGTTGGACATCATGACAGCGGCACTAATAATCACCGTTTTGTGCTTTGGACCGCGGAACCTTAATTAGTGTTTCAAAGTTTAATCTTTAGACAATGTGTGGAGTTCTTGTGCGCCTTTACGCACGGGCGGGGCGGTGCCACTAAAACTGTAATTATGTCACTAAAAGCTCCTCCTCTCTTCAGTCCTAATCCCTTAGGCTACAGCCCGTGTTAATACTGCGTCTGAAATTTATCCACAAGTAGCAGGCAGCAGTAGTTTACACACTAGAGGTCCAGGGCTGTCTCCACACGCGTTTTTGGACACATTTGAGCCTGGCTGCTCACCTGGACAACATCCAAGAGACACACACACAGTCTCGGTAAGTTTAAAGGACGTGTAAGTCTCTCAGGTTTGACATTAGAATCCTCTCTGATGATTCATGTGTTGCTGAATCAGATTTTGGGACATAACATTCATCTGAACTATTTCAAAATGCTGGTGCTGGACTGATTTTCTGTTTTTGCTAGTTAAACTGCAACATTTTAATTCATTGACTTATGCTCAGGCGTTTGTTAACTTCTCCACTAGATTTACTTTACATCTTTGATAGCTTGTGTCCTCAAACATATCAACAAAGCCAGAGTTACAGTGCAGCCATTACAAATCCCTAAAACCTGTCAAGTTGTAGGAGAGCATTCATCCTGAACAGAAGCAAATGGGTGCGTTAACCACAGTTTTGCGCAACGTTTGGAATGGAGACAAACTGGTTCACATAAAGAACCACAAAATCAAAAAAAGAGCTGCATTGTTTCAGAACGGTTTTTAAAAGGTTCAGGTGTCAGTGTTTATTGTGASTGTCTGGTCACTGTTTTCTTGTTTYCTCCTGCAGCCACTCAGCATGGCCTCCTCTGAGGACACAGAAGGCTCCCTGATGCCTGTGGACTTTATCCAGCTGCAGCAGTACATGGAAGGTGAGTTCCTTGTTTCTGTTTGCGTCATTCACGCCATCTGTTAAATTGCTCAAACAAAGAAAAAACTAAGATAAGGCAATCAGAGTGACAAAGTCAAGTGGGAGCCAAAACCAGTTCACACCCAAAACAGTCAAATCTCTGCAGTTCTGATCAGATTTCAGACTTCGTCACTTTAAGCAAATTGACTAGTGAACATTTTTACATTTTTACAATTATTGCCACAAGAAGGCTGCTGTAAGAAATGAATCATAAACACAATGGTGCTGAACAATAACCTGTGGAGCATCCTCCTGCAGCCTCACTCAAACATCAACTTTAAAAAAGTGCTGATGGGACTGGACTTAATGCAGAATTATGATGACGAGCTGACAGGAAACAAAAAGCGGCGCTGGGCTAAAAATACTCGGTCCATTTAAAGGCTTTGAAAGAAATTAAATGGGTCTGTAGGCTTTTAGTGTTTGGGGAGGAGAGTATTTACACACAGGATAATGGATGAATAGATAATTACATGTTCATGTGCTCCGGTCTTGATGTGTGAGAAACACTGTTTTGTGTGTGTGTGTGTGTGTGTGTGTGTGTGTGTGTGTGTGTGTGTGTGTGTGTGTGTGTGTGTGTGTGTGTG